CAACATCAACCACATTGAAACCATAACAACAACAACACACATAACAACAACAACAACAAAAGTATGATGAACAATAAAAACAACATCAGAACAACTTAACCACATCAACAACATTGACAACATCAACAACACAATAGCAACAATATCAACAACTTGACAACAGCAACACCACAACAACAACAACAACATCAACACAACAACAACAACACAACAACCCACCACTTTTTCATCAATCGTGTGCGGCCCGCTATTCAGAACTTTCTCTACGCTGTCAGTGTTTGAGAAGTTCACAAAGCCGAAGCCCCTTTGGTTAAATGAAAAATCAGTGAAAATTACTTTTCATACTTTACAACAATATTTTGAAAATCGGTATATACAAGAATTAAAATTGTTCCTAAGAAGAAATTTAAATTCAGAATTGATTTTTTTTAACAATTTGTAACTTTTAAATAACACACAAATTGTAACGTAATTAAGCTGTTAAATTAAATAAAATTTCATGAATTTTAAAAAACGTAAATAATAAAACAACAACAACAACATTTATTAGTATGAAAAGAAATTATGAAAAAACAAAACTAAAAGATCTTCCAATAAGATAATAATTTCAATTTTCTCCCGAAAGAAGCAAAAAAAAATTTTGCATTGGAAGATAATAAATGTAATTTAATATCAGAATATGCCGTGCTAGTAATTTATAATTTTTCTAGAATTTTTTGCAAATATTTTTCAAAATCGTTCACAAATATTTTTTCAGAATTTTTTTATAAATACTATTTTTTCAAATAAAAGTTATCACAAAAACTTCATTCAACAAAGCAAGCTAGCTTCATTGATTTGTACAATTTTATGTTTGGTACGTAATGTCTTTCTGGAATTGAATAAAATATGACAAAAGACATGTAAGGAATGACGATGAAAAATTTATAAAAACTTATTATAAATTTGTTTTATTACTATTATTATTATATAACATTATTATTAAATAATTTCAAAAAAATATTTACGAGATATAACATTATCAAAGATTCAAATGAATCGTTAGACTACTTACTTTAACTTTTTGTAGTCGTTAAAAAATGAATAACTTGAACATTAACATTTTATTTTTTGCAATACATAATATTCATTTGTTTATATTAATACTTTTGACATTTAAATTGAAATTCAAAGTTTTTTATTTACTTCAAAATTAGTAAGAAAAAAGCATTATAACAGAAATAAAAATATTTAGCCGATTTTCGGGAATACAATTAGACAAGAATATATCTTGCTCAGACCATTTAAAAATAATAATTAAAGACAATTAAACTGAAAATATCATCTTAAAACTTCAAATTATGTATAAAAATAAAACATTCAAATATAATCCAATATTGGTAGTATTTATAATAATAATAATGTGCAAACGTAAGATGTGCGATATATGATATATTGATTGCAATCGTTCAATTACTTATGTTCATGATGGATTCATTACATCGCCTGTCTACATATACCCACATACAAACACAGTTACTTCGTTTCCATCTCCGTGTCATTTTCCTCTTAGGTTCACTCACTTATTACATACATTCAGTACATTATTATTATAGACGTGATGCCCTAGTGGTTAAGGTCGCCTGGTGCTGTTTTGCAGTAACCGGGTTCGAATACCACAAAAAGATCTCCGCTCATCATATGCTTCGTGTGTGATGTGTCGTTTAGCATTTATCCATATATGATGTTTGTGTCGTGTTGTTGAATCATCTTAACTTTGGAAGGGTGTAATTGACCTTTAACCTTTTACCTTTATTAATCTAAGTTATTCACTTTTATATTTATTTGTTTGTTTGTCCGTTTGTTCCTTTGTTTGCCCGTTTGTTTGTCGCTCGTTCATTCTTTCAATGATTTATTCAATTTACTACCATAACTTTTGCAAAAATAGCATTAAATTTAATATGTAATATTGGCCATGTTTTTAGAACAAATTTATTCTCAATATTTTGAATAGAAACTTTGGCCAAATCTGTATGTGGAAGTAGAATCAAATGGTATTAATTAAGGTTTGTTATGTTTGTATAAATTAAATTGGTTTCGTCACAAAGAAGTGACTGACATTACAACGTTAATAATAGTTAGCTGTGAAAGTCGTGAGCGAGGCAACCGTGTTGTTCTTTAAATTTAAATATTCAAATTTGGCCAAGTTTTTTTCAGCGTTTGATATCTGACATGAGAGAGACATAACCAACAACGAAATGAAACAAAACGAATGCTTATTCAGTAGGTTATTCTTAGTTAAAGAACAAACAACACATAAAACTATTTCAAAACACGTTCTAACGCTTATGTGAAATGAGTAACCATTTAAATTTTTTAAATAAAATTTAGAGTTCATATCTACATCTTATGTATGTCCATTCACAACAAATTTTGAGTGTGATCATATTGACCATAAATTGACCATATTCATCTTGTTATGTAAATTATCATATAATGTTTGAAATGAATGAACGTAAAAATATAAAACTTACGGTCAATCAAAAATTCATAGCAATTTAAGGGCGATTAATTCGTTAACAATTTTTTTTCAAACTGATAGGCCGTGCAACTATCTTCATAATTAATTTCTGTGAAAAAGGCAACGCCAGTAATAATAATAATAACCAACAAGCGAAAAAAATGTTAACAACAACAACAAAATAATAATAGAAATAATAACAACAAGAAAACATTTCAAATGTATTTATAGCTGGGAACTGTTTGCAGCCCATCAATCAATTTGTGAAAAGGCCTCAAAACTATGCGGCTCTGTTATTAAAATAGTTACATCATAACACATGTTATATACATATATTATATTTTGTTATATAAATGTTATATACTGTTATATACATATTTTGTTATATAAATGTTATATACTCTTATACACATAGCATTTTATGTTATATAGATGGTATATACTCTTAAATACCTATCTTATGTAGTGTTACGAACGTTAACTTTATACAACTTTGTGTCATTTCAAATGTATAAAGTGTCTTTGTACATTTGAAATGACATGGAAGTTTTAAGAATAGAGAAATAATTCAATAATATTGCAACACGAAATAACTTTCTCAGTTCTGACATTTTATGATGATAATTCATCTGACGTTTTGAAATAATTACGTTTAGTATGTCGAAGAAGTTAATTGAAAGCATAAATTATAACTGACAATTAGTTTATTCAAACATAGATACACGGTAAATAGAATCGATGACATTCACTGAAATGGATTTATTCAAAACTTGTTCGTTTTTTATTCAAAATTTTTCATTTATTAATTTTTTATTAATTTTATTTACATAAAATGGCAGCACACAGCAAAACCTCCGCTGAGGTATTTATGATGCGTGGGCACGAGTAGTACAATCATATCTTGGTCAATTTGATTGCTCAACACTTGAAAATATTGGACCTCAAATTTGACACGACACACACAAATATATATTCAATTCAATCTTTCTTTCTCTCACTCTCTCTTTCTCTCTCTCCCCATTTATTTTTCTTTTTCTCTTTGTATATTTAATATACAAATGTATCTTTATAGACGTAGTTGTTGTGTCGGTACGTTTGCTTTTAAATGGTATTGCGGTATTGTGAATCTGTCTGGGAATACACTTTAATTATCCTGACGGCCTCTCTACACTTGAAATTTGATTATTTTAAATTTGTATACTGAAAGAGGAATTGATATGTCTGCCTAAAAGCAAGTGTTGGTAAAAGTTGATCACGTATATGTCGTGATTCTGCAAATTTTGTTCTAGAGTTCAGACTGGTTGTGTATAAAGTCTCCTGTTTATCATGTCCAGAAACATATTTTGATAATTTTGAACATTTTTCACAAAACGCTCACATTTTTCATACATGAATCCGTTGATCGATTAGATAAACTTTTTTTTTACTAAAGATACGTTTCATTTCATGAAAAAAAATTGCAGATAGTTATTTTTATGTAGACAGTGCATTATTTAAAGTGCAAAAATTACCATAAACGCATCGATGAGACGGACTTTAAAAAATTATTTTTTTTATAGAAGCGAATAACTTTTCGGAAACATTGTGAAACAACTTAGAAACCAACAAACATTGTCTTCCAATGCAAAAAATTATTGCATTGTTTCAATGTTTTTGAGTTTACTTTATACAAACGTTATCAATATTATTCATTTGTATATATACGATCGGCGCTTATATGAATGTTGTAAAAATAAAACATTGCCTGTAATAGCTTTTTATACCTTTGTTATTTGTTTGTATTTTTTGTTTATATTTTTTCCTTAGAAAGCGACGATATTTTTTGTTTGATGTATATTGTTGTTCCGCCGATTGTTCATTCGTTTTTCTTTTTGTTTCTACAGCGACGGCATTTCATTTGAATTTGTTGCATTCGTCCCAACCCAACTGCAGCCTCCCCTTTCGAAACGTTATAAGCGCCTTGCAGCGCGTGTGTGTGTGTCCTCTCAAGATTTGTTAGCTTTCATGCAGTGGCACAATCAGTGTTTCAGTGTTTTGTTAACAAGATCCTCTAGAACAATTAACGTTTTTCATTTATGAAAAATTTTTCTATCAACGAAATTTTAAATTAAATTTTCAAGTCTGAATTTCGAGTGACTTGGTAGAAATTTTCGTTAACGATGACAACTTAATTAAATTACGTTGTATAAAAAACAATCAATTACAAACAAGCGCCTTGGAACTTTTTATAAAATTAACGTTATTTTCGTCTTATATAAGAACACACAGTTTCGTTTGTTTTTATTGTATGTAAGCTTTTAAAATGTTCGTTGCTTTGTTTATCGGGCCTACAATCAATCACGCTGTTGTTGCTGCCGCTTCAGACAGACAGATGCCCAAATTATTTCTTTCTTCTTTTTCTACAAAAAAAAATGCAAAAAACACAAACACAAAAAACAAACACAAAACAACAACAAAAAATACAAACAACGAAAAATACAAACAACAAAAAATACAAAATAAAACACAAATAGTGAAACATAAGAAACAACAAATTTTTCCTCTTTAACAAAAGCAGAAACGTTTTTTTCTTCTCTTAATTGGGATTGATTTAGTTTTTAAAACTTCGCACACAAGGAGCTTTTCGTTGAACAAAAAATATTAAACATGTTATATTCTGTAAGAAATATTTCATGGTTATTATGCGTTAGATACAAACATGTAAAATACACTTATTCGCAGGGACCGCAAGCAAAAATAATGTTCAAATGAACTATAGGTTTACATCTTCAACAATCATTTTATCTCTCTAAATTTTTGACAAC